GAGAGAGAGAGAGAGAGAGAGAGAGAGAGAGAGAGAAGAAGAAGAAGAAGAAAGAAAGAAAGAAAGAAAGAAAGAAAGAAAGAAAGAAAAGAAAGAAAAGAAAGAAAGAAAGAAAGAAAGAAGAAAGAAAGAAAGAAAGAAAGAAAGAAAGAAAGAAAGAAAGAAAGAGAGAAAATTAGTGACTTACCACAGACTTTTGTCAGCTTGCTCTTGGAGGATTTGAGGTGGACTGGCAAGTCACATGTGGGCCATGAGTTACCCACCTTATATAGATTAGTATAGATTGTTTTCTATTCATGCTTTATAGGAGAGCTGTGTTAATCTGTGGTGACAAAGGAATCAGGAAGAGTCTGGTAGCACCTTTTCCAACTAACAAACTTTATTAGAAGGCATAAGCTCCATGACCATAAATAAATAAATATGATTTGTTAGTTGGAAAAGGTGCTACCAGACTACGTCATGCTTAAGACAGTCATATTCTGTATTGTTGTAAACACAGTTAGGATTGCCCTGGGTGAGATTAGGGATTGCAGGAAGCCCTCAGAAATGTTGATGAAATGTCAGCAGAACCACTGAAGACTTATGAAAGCTAGGAGGATATGGTTTCTTTCAGATGCAAAGAGTAACCAATCACTGATATAAGGAGAAAGTACAGTAATCCTTAAAAATGGACATGTAAAGCAACTACTATATATTCTTGACATTATGGCAAGGATAATACTTTACAGAGCTGTGGGAATCAGTAATGACCTAATCGGATGGAAATATAAAAATAGGCAAGGTCTCTTGAGATCTCTAGAAGCAAACTTTTCCTGTAATACTACAGGAATATTGTTACTAACCAAATACTAACCAATATTTACTATCAGAACCTAGTGATTTTGTGATGGTCCTGATAAACCTGCAGTGGAGAGCTTTCACGGTTTTGCCCAACAGAGGGACCTAATGGTATAACCACAGTGAAATCATTCCAATTTGCAGGAAGTGTTTGTAATAACATGAAGCTTTGTTGATTATATAGACTGCACTATACCATGCAAGAGATTCCAGAGACATTCAGAAAAACTTCCACTCCACTTTCAAAACTTTACCACAGATGCATGAAAATCTATTAAGCTGTTCCATTTATACTATATTGCATTTTAGATATGTCTGGTGTCCATGGATCTATCTTATCTCAAAGTTTATTTGAGTGTTATGTCTAGTTTACCTTAGTCAGAACTTTGAGGTTTTTTCCCTCACCTTTTGGCATGAAATCTTTGATCTGGATCATGGAAGTTACATTTCTTATTTCTGAAGTGGAACTATATTTTAAAGTTTTCAGTTTTCTTATTCAGCAGACTAAGCCATTTGAACCTATGATAAACCATTCTTTGTTCAGTATGAAGTGTTTTTAGTAATAGTAATCAATTTTGATTGCTAAATCAGTGAACCCTGTGCTGACCCCCTTTATCACATCTGTCATCAAGCTGAACTTCCTTTCCAGAAATTGGATTTCTCTTCCATATCACCCAAGAAATTGTCCTTCTCACATTGTACAGGTGACATACAGTAAAAGACAGATCAAACCTTTTTGCATCTCATAACATTTCTGTATCGTGATTGTCCCACACTGGAAAACTAATTTCTACCTATTTTTTTTCCTTTGGTTATGGACACAGACCACCAGCTTATCTGCTGACACATTTGTTCCTTCTGTGTAAGCTTAAGGGCCATTCAAGGGCAGCTTTTATATATGCTAGCTTTGCCAGAGGTGTATCACCATAATACATCTGCTTGGCAACTGTATGGTCTTTTCCATCTTCCTTCATTTAGCACTATTGTTTAGCTGTCCATACAAGAACTACTATTTCCGTTGACAGAGACATTTGTTCTGTGATCTTATTATAGATTCCTTTATGTAAGCTTGCTATCCTCTCGTGTGTGATCCTCAGAGACCATGAAAAATAATCACAAGTTACTTCCCAATAACTCTAGTTCTTTAACCAGTCTCTGCATTCTCACAGTCCTTGCTACAGTGGTCAGTTGGTTATCTTTACACCTCCATATCAGTATTGGAACTGAAATATTTGGTATGCCTCAGGGTCCTGCCAGAATTTTAGAACATTCCTCAATATTGGTATGTGCAGGCACAAGCCCTTATGTGTGAACCCATGTTATTTTAGTAGCACAAACTAAACCATGAGAGGACAGACAGCAAGAAAAAACGGTAGGAATGAATTCTTTCATCATATCAAAATGGAGGTCCTCTTTGTAGAAAGTGCTCAGTATTTCATTTCCAGTTGGGTGTGAGAGGCACACAGATAATCCTAATTATTGTTCCTAAAATCTAATAGGCCCTGATTAATTTAAGTCATATTTCATGTATATGTGTTTATAGTGTGTGTGCTTAATGTAGCACACACAGACTTTCTTTTTGAATCACAGTGCTTTTAATAATGTGTAATGAAGTGAATGTATCCATATAGGAATCAAGGTAAAGAAAGCTTATGTACACAACATTCCCCAACTAAGCTAGTTGTAAATCATATAAAGGAGAATTGCGGTATTAATTTGAAGTCTTTCTACCATTCACCTTGTGCTCATATGCAGATAATAAATCAGCAGAACAAACAGCAAACTCTGCTGAAAAGCACTTTTACTCATTAGCCATTTAGGGATTATTTGTGTCTGGTTTAATATGCAAGCAAAATATCTTAGTCACATATTAATTATACTTAGCCTATCCAGGGACCTGAAGGTGTAGTTTTCTGGGTTATTTCTAGGTTGGGGTCCATTCCAAATATTATATTTCCATTTATAGGGGAAATCTAAAAACTTGTATTCTGATGCAACTGCCCTTGTCATTCTTCTCTTCAAAAGGAAAATGAAATAGTATTTCTTTTGCTTCAATATTTAGATGGTTTGCAAGCTTAATTTTGGACCACCACACCAAATTCCTGTTTTAAATAGCCGTACTAAAATGATGTTGGAAGTTGGGAAATGGCTTTCCAGTACATCTAGAATTGCATCAAGCTCTTGCCATCAATCAGGGTCTGTAGGTCTTCTGGTTCTTGGGAGTGAATAAACAATGATAGTTAAAGAAAGCCTCCTCTCAATCCAGAGTTTCACCACTGGAAAGTGAGCAGAGAAGTGTAATTTAATTTATATGGATTCTGAATTCCATTTCCAATTTACTAGAATGGACAAACCACTTTGTGGACATCATATAGAAGTCATATTGATTGTAGTAAACCCCAGCAAATATATTTAATCATGAGGAAATAATCTTGTACGCCCAGGCTACCATCTCACTGTTGGTTATGTGTGGTTTTTCAGCTTGTGCCCTCGCACCACCTCAAGATCACTCCTGCAAAATCTGATGACAAAATGGCCTATTTCTATCAGTGCAATTTTGACTCTTTCTTTTTCCCTTCAGGTATTAAGGTAGCTTGGAAGGCCTCCTGTTCCCATTTCTGCTGTTAATCCCCCTTTCCCAAAGGCCAGACAATACGGCCACATTCCTTGCAGCTGTCAAAGCACCCTAGATGACTTCGGTGGTCCTTTAGGAGGTTGGAGGCTGAGTTTTGCAGCCCCCAGCCTCTGAAATATTGCCTGCTGTACAATAGCCAGAAATGTGATTTTGTGCTGATCTTTCTCCATATTTACTCTATAGGCTAATTATTAACTTGTTAATGTAGACTGACAAATGTGAATGTGTAAAGGTATTAGTTGGATCTAGCTAATATTACTGTCCCACTATGAAGAAGATTTTAAATTGCAAGTTGCATATACTTTTGCCTTCTCAAGATCAATGATTATATTAACATTTTGACTACAAACTTGATAATGCCAGTTATTCTTTGTATCTTAACTTACCATGTACAGTTTTATTTTATATACATATATTTCCTTTTCCATCTTAAATGTAGCTATGAGGGGTACAGTATTGTGGTAATAAATAATTCAGAGCAGGATGCTTCTTACAGATCTTTCTAAAAGCCCCCTAAATAATTCAACATATATATTTAATTAAATTAAAATTAAAATATCTTAGAGAGTTATGTTGTGTCCTCTGAATATTTTTTCCTGAACTTCTTCATATAAGTTATACAACAGGTAACATAATCTCGATCTCTGGAATTATTTTCTCAGATATACTTGTACTAATTTTAGATTTCCCTTCTCTAGATCCATCCAGCAACTCCTCAAATTCCTCTTCAGCACCTATGGCAGGTTTTTCTGCAAACATTCAAGGAGCACGAGTTTATCTTCAAGGACCTGTTGGGACTCCCAGTTTTAACAGGCAACATTTTTCTCCCCATCCTTGGACAAGCGCTACAAATTCATGTAGGAGCTTTGGCAGTTTGTCTAATTCAAATTCGGTGTCTGTTCATATAACCCTTTTGCTAACTCTGTGATTTTGTTTGATTGATGAGGGAAACTGGCAGTTGAAAGAGAGAAGATTACTAAATTGAGTTAAACTATTATCCTTAAGTCCAAACTGCACATGACGCTGAACAGCTAAGATGAAGGATTGTTTCAGTTTTTCCCCCTAGTATTTTCTGCCATACATAATTTCTTCCCTGCAGTAAAATAAGGGATGGCACATTAGTCCTCTCATACTGGTTGCTCCAGTAGTAACTTACAAATTTGAGGGAAGGTTCCATAAAGTCGCAGATCACTTTTAGTTTTTAAAGCTTTAATTATCCTGCAAAAAAGGATAATTTAAATAAATTAAATTTATCCTTTAATTATTCTTACAAAGAGAATATTTAAATAAAGGACACTAATATTTAAGATTAAAGTTATACACTGAACCTTTAACCTATGAATTGAATCGTAATTATTAACATTCTAATCAGATATTCTTGTCACTGAAGTTTTCAGAGCTGTATAATCAGAGATATAATAACTGGTGAATCTGAGGGAATCCCCAACTTGTCAGCCTCTTCTTCCTTATTCTCCTGTTTTTGTTCAGTTGTTATCCACTGACAAATCACAGAAAAGGAGAGGTTGAAACCTCATATCATCATACCTTGCACAATCTTGAAGAATAGGTGCGAATGCAGAGAAGAGGAAGGTTGTCTATGCTTGCTTGGCCTACAGCCCCGTCTGATGCTGGCACTGAAATTAAATTGAAACTTGGGTTCCGGCATAAAGGCTATCCACCCTTGAAACAAATCTTACAACTTTATTGACTAATAAAGACTGTTTTGACAATGAATTGCATTATGGAGGCCTTTTCCATCCATTAAGCAGTATATCTTTATGTCTGCTGCATTAGATTTTTTTGTTTGTTTGTTTCTCTCAAAATGCTTCGGTAATAGCAACAGTCATAAAATACAGATTTTTCCCATAGGGGGAACATTAACTATCCTAGCTAAGCCTTCATATTTAATAAAGCAAGAGAACTGTTTTTCCATCAGGTGAATCACCTATTCCATCAGTTTCCTCGGGATCATCTTCTCCTCTTTCAGCTGCATCTGCACCTTCTAATCTGGGGCAGCCAAAATCAGGGAGCACAAGTCAAGATCGGAAGGTGCCACCACCTATTGGAACAGAACGACTTGCTAGAATCAGGCAAGGAGGTTCTGTCACTCCTACCCCCTTGGGAAGCAACTTCACAGCTCCTGTAGGACACAGTGGGATCTGGTCATTTGGCGTTAACAATGTTTCAGGTGAGATTATTTTTAAGAGAAAGAGAAAACTGATTTGTGGAATAATACATGGAGAACCAGAAATATTTGAGGATTTTGAGCTTTTTCTGTATACCACTGTGCAATACTGTAAAGATGTTAAGCATCTTGCAGGGCTTGACAATATTCATTTGCACTATCTCTTTCCAAGTATGAACAAGATTCTCTTTCCAAGTATGAACAAGATGGTAAAAACGTTCCATAAAGGAATAAAGGAGTGTTCCTCAGGAAAAGAGCTAGTAAGATGGTTAAAGAAGTGGAAGTGTAAAAAAGTAAGCTTGCTTAAGAAGTTTGCGCACAACAGAAGATGACACAAGGAAGAAGTCTTTGGGAGATGGAAGGGAAGCCACATTTGGAATAAGCAAAACAGGCAAAAGAATAAATAGGGTAAAAAGACATTTCTGGAAGGACTATGTGGCAGGGTAGATGAATAGCCCCTCTTAGCAGAAGGTTAACTGTAATGGAATCTGAGAGCTATTGGGGGAAATATGGCAAGGTTTTAGATAGAAGAAGAGAAGAAAGATTTTGTTTCTCTGAGGTATAATACTTAGTCCCTGAAGAAAGGTTTTCTGGCAGGGAGGGAATCTGTCTGCAAGTAGCTGCAATTTTTCTTCCTTGATAACTACTGCAAAAATTCTTTTTGCTAAAGAGAGAAATCACTATGTCTTTTAAGTAGCGTATTTTCTCCTTGGCAGAAAAGATTACTACATTGCTGCAGTGGAATCAATAAGTAATTTTTAACTGCTAGTATGAAGTTCTCGAGGCGAAGACAGGAAACAGTGACATTTCTATTTTCATAATAACATTACAGATGAAACTAAAAGAAATTTCAGGCTTTTGTCTAATTTTTAAATAAGTGATTTTTTGTCTTTTTAGAAGGCCTGTCCAGTTGGTCCCAGCCTGTAATGGGAAATCATGCAGTACATCAGCAACTCTCTGATCCAGGCACTTTTTCCCAGCATCAACCAATGGAGAGAGACGATTCTGGAATAGTGGCTCCCTCCAATATTTTCCAGCAGCCTATGCCAAACAGTTTTGTGGATTTCTCTAAAGTACATTTTAGTGTATTTTTCAGTGTGTTTTATTGTCTGTTTTCTCACATAACATGGTGCAGTTTCTACAAAATTTCTAGAATAGAGTTAACAAGTTTCACTTCATTTTCAGTGAAATTTTCTATTTTAGACAATTGGTTGATGAGTTTTGGAAACTTCTTCAAAATCCTTGCACAGCTGCATAAATAATTTTAACTTTTCTACAGTCATTACACTTACTGGAGATAATACAAAATTGCCTCTTATTTCACTCAGAACAGTTGCAACTAAATCCAGTTTAAAAGAGCAGTTGTGTATCAATGATATATGATTGAATTCTAACAGTGGGCACTATTCAGATCCAAAGTGGGCAAGGGTGCTCATAAAAATAAGTTTGCATTAAGGAGGCTTTGACAGGGAACAACCATGTTCTGTCACAAGTATTGCAGTTCTCCAGAATCTTTTTAAATTATTAGAAATACAATTTAAGTTGCAAAGGGGCCCTGGAAAGCTTGGTTTAGAGAGAGGAATTTGGGGACCAGCCAAATAAACAGGACGTTATTGGGATACCAGTTTCACATAAATGAAAATAAATTGGCCAGTTTATGGAAAATGCATCTCCAGCTGAGATAGGTTTAAAGTGTACCTTTAAATTATATGAAAATCTGGGAAATATACAATTGCCTTTTTATGTTTCCTAGCCTTTTAGAATGCTATAGAATTCTTCCATTGTCTCATTCAAGTTGTATTGTAAGAAATAGAAAATGATTTGGAGTAGATTTTTGTCTTTTTATCTTCACGTATTATAAATAATTTTAGGTCAGGTTCTGTTCTGTTAGATATAAATTAATACTCCTTTTCTGTTCCAGGGCCTACCAATTTCCATGTATGGAGGCACTATAATACCCTCTCATCCTCAGCTTGCTGATGGACCAGGTGGTCCTCTTTTCAATGGACTCCATACTCCAGATCCAGCATGGAATCCCATGATAAAGGTTGTTCAAAATTCAACAGAATGTACCGATGCTCAGCAGGTGCAGTAATAATCTTTATCTGCTACTTTTAAGCTCAGACTTTTGTTGGAAATAATAAAATTGAATCCTTGTGAGAGCAGAGATGATTTCTATGTTTTCCAAGCTCATGCAAATTAGTATATGTTAAATGTGAACTTAGAGAGCCAGTTTGGTGTAGTATTTAAGGCATCAGGCTAGAAACTGGGAGACTCTGAGTTCTAGTCCCACTTTAGACACAAAGCCAGCTGTGTGACCTTGGGCCAGTCCCTCCCTCCCTCCCTCTCAACCCTAGGAAGGAGGCAATGACAAACCACTTCTGAAATCTTGCCAAGAAAACTGCAAGGTCTGGTGCAGGTAGTCACCAGGAGTCAACACTGACTCGAAGGCACACACACACAAAGTGAATTAGACCCTTCCAATGTGATTATTCAAATTAAACTTCTGGATAAATGAACTGAGAGCCATATCCTCTTAAAATCAAGTCAAACTGAATGACAACAGCTGGTGGGAACTACCTAAAAATGGGATATTACTGGGAATAGGTCTCTAAAATCTGGTCACTTTTGAATTGGAATCAAGCTTAGTTAGCTAGGTGTTTAGGTTTGGGATCTGCTGAACATAATTTTCTGTAGTTCTTTGCAGTGCTGTTGCAACTATTCCATGACATTAATATCCTGTTTTATGTTGTTTCTCCCATTGTAGATTTGGCCTGGTACCTGGGCACCTCACATTGGAAACGTCCACCTCAAATATGTCAACTAATCTAGGAGGGCCTATATTTCCTTTTCTTTTACTTTTTTAAAACCTTGTTTGGAGAAATCTCTGACCTTGGAAGAACTTGGGATTTTTTTTAATGTGCCTAACTAAACTGTTTTTTTTCCCTGTGGGCTGTAACAAGAGAAACTTGTTAGCCCGTTGTTATAAGAACAAAATGAGTTACCTATTCAGCTGATTCTGTTCTCCAGTTAGTTTAGCCATTTTGAACTCAAAATCGGATGAACCTAGTGCTTTTGGCTAAACACTACTGAATGCTACTTGTATGCAAGAGAGAACTAGATGATTACATGATTTCAACCTTTTAGGGTGGTAAATACATGTATAATTGTTTACATACTTAAAAGGAAAAATGTTGAGTAAATTTCATGTCGTATAGTGGCTCTACTTTATGTAGCCTGTATTAATGTGAAATATTTACCTGAATATTCAATAAAAAGATGAACATTACAGGCTTTTGTGTACTAATCTTGATAATATACTGATTGAATGCTAATGCCCAGTGGTGTTGCATTTGAATCTGAGAATTAAACCATTTTACTTTTTTGCCTAGGATAAATCAGTTTAATATTTGCACATTTCTTTTAGGTTTTCCTCAATTTATCATTGTTAATTATATTAACAACTATTGGTTCTTACTAAATGGGGTCATCAGATTGAACTATGAGTGAAATATATGTAGAAGTCCCTGTTTGTTTGATAGCATAATTCTAATGGAAGCATTGTTCCATTAGAATTATGGAACCAGCACCAGAAAAAGATGTGTAAAACAGATGCTCAGAACACTGAAACACTTCACATTAATGTACCTTTGAACTGAACTAAATTATTTTTAAATATAGTGTACATTTCTCATATTTCATCTTTAAAGAAACCTCAATCCAGTTTTATTACATATAGACCCCTAGACCATTACACAGTATTTACACAAAGTATGATGTAAGACAATTAAGGTACTTTCACTGAGCAAATACAGAATATTTGCCATATTAAATTATGTAATCCCCTTTACAGTGACTTCCATGTAACTGCAAGGCTGCCATGGCAAAAGTATACATTGTTGGATTTTGGGAACATGATCAAATAATAAAAAGGCCGTTTTTGTGCTCAACAGAGTTCAGATGTTAGGCACATCTAAAGGATCTGTTCCTGTACAGGGAAACTAAGTTAGGTAGTAAGCCTGAACTTTAATCTGAAACTGGCAGTATAAACTAATTTTTGTGCACCAATATCTTCTGTTGATCACTGCCATTTGCAGTTCAAAATCTCTGGAATAGGACTCCAAATCTTTTGGTGTGGGGCTTCGTTCATGACAATGCCACACTCAGAACACTGCTGCTCAAAAGTATTAAGGTGGCTATGTCCTCCTGAAGTTTCATGTAGCCACCTTGAAGGTCTTTCAGGTTGTCAGTGCATGCATGTACATATGCAAAGAAATGCTTCCATTGGAACAATAGCCAAGCATAACTTCAGCAGTCTGAAGTTTTATGCATTCATAGCTGCAGAATAAGAATGGCCAACGTGGTCTTGAAGGTACTGGACTCTGGTATCCTTTATTGTTCACCACTGGCCATGCTGGTTAGAACTGCTGGGAGTTCAAATTCAAAAATAGCAAATTTTATAATCACACCATTATAAAATGGTGCTTATGCCAGAATCATCTAAGGATGGCACAAATCCATTTTCATTATCAGGAATTTATCACATACCTTGCAACCGCAGACAGATATGTATTTGAACTACAGAATGTAGTATTAACACTTGACTAAAAGAACATGAAAGATATTGCTGGCTAGGACAACTTGAAAAATCACCAGTAGCTTGACACTCACTGCTATATAATGGGCATAAGATTCAATTTACAGACACACAATCTATGTATAGAGAAGCTATTGAGTTTTATAAACATTCTAACCACTTTAACAAGGAAGAGAGCCTAAAGCTTGGTTTCAAGCTTTATGTTACACCAGGAGGAGGAGGAGGAGATGTTTCAAAGACAGACCAATAACTCCTTTGGAACTTCTTTGAATCAGACCAATTACAAATTCACCTGGACAAATAACCAGTCAGAAACTGGCTTTCCAGAATTCCAGTGACACAGTCCAATTTGAAATTAGTTTGGTTACAAATACAAGAGCTCAGTCAGTTCTTGCTCAGTTGCCTGTGAGCTGCCAAGAACTGAACTACAGAGGAGATCACTTTGCCTCTGAAGATGTCAGCCACAGTTGCCAGTGAAATGTCAGGATATCAGATATATAGACCATGGCCTATTAACCCAGAAGCTCATCAGCTATATAAAATGTTTGCCAGAAATGACATTGTTCCTCTACAGCAGAACCAGGGAGATGGACATTTTTAAAAGTATGGCTTTGTCCTCTTAATTGCTATTAGGCACGTGTGCAGCAGGAAACATTCTGCAAGGTTCCAGTTATAAGAGCTGAAAATGAGAAACTTTTAGTATGTATATTAAATACAAAGTTAAGCTACATGACTTAGAGCTGATAAACATGCTCTAACAATTAGTAACAGCATAATTTATTATTTTTAATCTCCACTGGTAATATTCATCCCTTCTCCATATATTTTATATATACATATTATACACACACATAAACACGCACAAACACACCAACTTCTCTGAAGGTTTCACAGTTTAACAAAACAAATGTTGATACATGCTACTATTTTATCCATATATTAAACACAACATGCCAAATCCAGGAAAAACCACATCAGAAGTGTTGAATGCTGGCAGAGGAAAATGCTCGTGACACCATCCCTCCATCAAAAGCCCCATAGAATGAGAAGGGGCAATGAGGCCTTCAAGACTCACCCACCAATCTCTGCAGGGACCCAAGAAACTACTCTGGTTTAGTAAACTTTATTCAAAAATCCTTTTGCTGCCATTTAAACCTGTTTCCAGATATTTTATAAAATAGTAAAAATTTCTTTTAGGATTCTATTATGTTTTAAACAAGAAGCATAGGGCAACCAGCAACTATTCTTGTTCCAGTCCACCTGCTACAAGAGAAAAGATGTCAGATGCAACTGGCTAAATGAAAAAAGATAAAATGAAAAGTTTCAGCAGTTTTAATACAGCCATATAAAATAAATAGGAATCAAGTCTTCCCTAAAATGAAGTGACTGTTAGAAATGGGTTTTCTAAAATTTAATGTCCCTCATTTTAGTAATCTCTAGTACTGAACTCTGCTCAAGAACAGAAAACAGCTTTTGTACAATAGGCACTCTTTAGAGAATAGAGAAGAAGGTGTAGTGAATTCTGCAGGCAAAATAAGGAACACACTTATTGGGAAAAGAAAAAAAAATAGGAAGACTTTACTGTAGCTATACTAACTGTTTAAATTTAACACCAGTATGGCACTTAGGATTCACTGTACAATTAAAAAGTAGTATCTGCAAAATTGCTATTTTTAACCTATCTTCAAAAAGTTGCTCTGTGTTTGTTAGCGTATCAGAAAAATTCTCATTGTTCATGATGTGATCACGTTGGAAAATGCAACTGTTATTAAGGAGATAAAACTGTTCACTGGTTAGAAGTCAAATCCCCCTGGACCAGGTTGCCTTCCAGGCAGGGCCTATTTTCATATTGCCCAGTTCCTGGTCTCAGACAAATCATAAGCATTTGGATTTCAAACAGGGTTGACTCCTTGCTTATCTACTGCGGTGGATCTCCTCCAGGCAAGTTCTTCATTTCAGCAATAAGCCTTTTGACTCCCACCATCCACTGGCTTACTTCAGCAACGTGGTCCACCATTAGTGAGCGATGAATCTCATCAGCTATATCCCAATGCTGACTCTTGAGCTCTGAAAAAAATAAGAAAGCATCTCAAAACTTATTTTATTTATTTATTTAATTTATAGGGCTGCTTTCTCCACACACAACTGGACAACAAAAAAAAACTATAAATAATCAAAAGCAATTTAAAACAACACATCACACTTGGGGTGACTCAAAGGCACATAATCACATCACCAATGACTGGATGACCCAACAGCTTGGCCCACTGCCTTGGAGAGGAACCAGGTCTTCAGCACCTTACAAAAAGACCAGCAGGCCATCCAAATCTCAGGGGATATATTGTTCCAGAGGACAGGTACCATGACAGAGAAGGGACACTTCCTGGGTCCCATCAGATGACTCTGGAATATGTTTGTCCTGTCAGATCTTGTGGGATGTGCAGAAATGATTGGAGATAAGCAGATTGGAGACAAGCCCAGTGTCATGAACAGCTTTATAGGTGATAACCAGCACCTTGAATTGCTCCAGGAAGTCCACTGGAAGCCAGTGCAGCTCATGAAGAAGTGCTACATGGATGTACCAAGAAACACCCATAACTATCTGCACCACTGCATTCTGCAGCAACTGCAGCTTCTAAATGCTTTTCAAAGGCAAGACAAGGTGAACAAAGCATGAGTTGCCATGAGTAGGACCTCTCAATCTAGGAACAGGGGCACTTTGCACACAAGAAACATTTGTGCAAAAGCCCTCCAAGCCATGGCTGCCACCTGAGAATCGAGGAGCAATTGTGCACCAGCTCTGTCTGGAGGAGTGCTAACCCATTCAGAACCAAAAATGTTAAGTCCCCAGATCCATGGATTCCCAAAATCCATAGTCACGTGATCTTGCTAGGATTGAGCCTGCTCCTGTTCCTCCCTATCCAGATCCCCAGAGTTTCCAGACAGAGAAAAAACCTTGAGGGCATTGCTTGGTCAGCCAGGACAGAGATGTATAATTTCATTGTTGTCTGATGACCTCACCCTGTGGCTTCATGTAGATGTTAAATAGGGGTAGGGAGATAGTGGAACTCTATGGACCCCTGCAAAGCAGGAGATTAGGGCTAGACCTTTCCCTCTCCCCCCCATCAACTGGAACCATTTACGGAGGAAGGACAACTGTTGAACACTGTGCTTCCCTGTCACAATCCCCTGAGACGGTCAAGAAGGATACCATGATTGTAAAAGCAACCAAGATATCAAGGAGAGGCAGGATGGATGTACTGCCATCATCCCAGTCCCACCAGAGATCATCAACAAGTGTAATCAAAGCAGTCCAGTACTGTATCCAGATCTGAACCTTGACTGAAAGGGGTCCAGGTAACCCTTTCCTCTGAGAAAGTTCCTCTCTGAAGTTGCAGCCTGACCACCTTCTCAAAACCTTTCCCTAAAAGGGAAGTTTGGAGACAGGATGAAAATTATCCAATATCACTGGGTCCAGTAATGGTTTCTTGAGAAGCAGACAGATCACTGCTTCCTTAAGTGCAGGTGGGACCACCTCCTCACTGTGGACCAAATTATATGTTATGTCCCAGGAGGCCTTAACTAGGTGGGATATGGATCTAAAACACAGGTGGCTGAACTGACAGCCCTAAGAATTCTGCCCACTTTCTTGAGATCAATTGGCTCAAACTCCTCCCAGATAACTAGGTAAGACTACACTTCAGTCAACTCCACTGACTTGCACGGGTGGAATCCAGCTCAGGGCAGACCCAAGTGACTTTTTCCATCAGATGCCTCAAGTATTCCTCACCACTGCCCTGCAGGTGTTTCTCTGGCCACCCTCTCCCACAAAGGGATTGGGTCAACTAAAACAGGGCCTCTAGCCAGTAATCTGGAGACAGAATAAGAGCAGAAATAGTTACATTTCACTGTTCTTTTGGCCACAAAGTAGTCCTTAATAAAGGCTCTCGTCCATCTGCATTTGAATTCACTCTTCATCTTCCTCCAGTGGCACTCTGAGGCCACAGAGGTGCAATCTGAGCCAACGCCACTGTCATCCTTCAATTCCAAGCAATGAAAAGGCATTAGTCAAAGAGCCTGAGGACAACCCCTACTCTAAAACCCAGTAGGGTTCGTTAGGCACCTGAGGCACAGCAATAAAACAGGTCCTGCCTCCCTGTGGTAGGGGGCAGCCTTGGAGAACTCCAAAGCAACCAAACAGTGGTTAAAAAATATAATAGGAAAAATGGTTCTACTCAGCTACCCTCCAGCCTGACCACACATTGCTAAGAAAACTGCTTTGGTTTAGATATGTGCTACGCTCCCTCACATGAGATTTTGCCAGTTCTACCAAAGCAATATTTCTGCTGCATATATTACATAACACACCTGGGCCTGAAGATTACAAAGAGGAATCACTACCATAGAATAGCAGACGATAGGTGTATTCCTTACCTTCTGTTAGAATTCCCATTCTTTTTTTTACAGGGGAAGATAATTTGCCTTGTGCCCACATTTCCTGCAGAATTACCAAGCGCTTATGGATATCATCACAAACCTGTTTCTGAAAGCAGAAGCAAATTCTTATTAGCAAGTAAAGTACCTTTTTGGGGGACTGTATTTACAAATTCTAGCCACAATGTATGTACGATCAAGCCATATCAACAAGGTCTGGAACCATTTGCCTACTTACATTTTCTACCCTCTCAGCTAATTCCACTGCAACCCTCCTGAAGTACAGCCAGTGCCTAAAGTTTATCTATAGACACTTCATGCCAAGGATTGAACTGAACCATTGTAAAGATCTCAAAGATCTCATATTGCATGCCACATTTTAAACAAGTACATGGATCTTATGGGCAAAAAGCCTGAGGAATTGTGGGAAGAACTGTAAAAGAAGCCAGAAAGCACATAACAACAGCCAGAAAGAAATGAAGGACACAGTTATTATAGAGGAAAGCCTCTTTCTGTATTCCCCCCAGGCGACACTAGTGCTGGTAGTCTTTAACCAGAATAAAAGGGTATCCTGTCACCAGTGTTTACCAAAGAAAATCCCAAAGGAAATGTAGCCCAAATGTCCCTGAGCTCTGTATTCATCTTTCAGAAGTTCATCTCTAGCTAATCAAGCAATCTAGCACAGTAAAACTCAGGACACTTTCTGAAGGCCACATTAATGTGCATTTCCCCCATCTTTGAGTCAGCAGAAAGCAAATGATGCTGCTCTCTTGGCTGCTCTCTTGGCTGAGCTTTACTCTGCCTCAGCAAGAAGGCCAGTCAGGGATGCTCTCCTTACAGATTTAACGCAGGATAGTTTCAGAGCAGCAGAGGGTGGATTCTCCCAAAAAACCACCACCAATCACTCTCCATAATGTAGGGCAAAACAAAAATGAGGGACTACAAACATGTGCCTGAGATGGAGGGTTTAGACACTTTTTAATTATCCTGAATGAATATGGCTGTATAGCCTTCTTGAAGGCAGCTATTCCTCTGTCAATAAAAAATATCCTGAGAGGTGGGTAGGGTAAAGGAGAATGTGGGATCAAACAAGAGACAGCTCTCAGGAATACTTACAGATCAAGCAAACCCTCCCTGCATCATCCCAGATCCTACATCAGCAAGATTTGGGGAGGGGGGGTTATCACAGAAATACTGATTTTTCTGGAAGACTGATGTTCCAATGTAACCCTCCTCCAAGGTTCTATAAATGAACTTTGTTTTTGCTTGAACTGCAGTCATCCTTTTTAAAGATGATTGCTGTTGGTTGCACAGCATCATCACTGATGCCTTGTAGTGCAAACTCTGGGTCACAAGAAGAGGGAAAACACTATTTTAATAGCAAAACAACTAGAGATAACTTTAGGTTGCCTCCCCAATAGCAAGGGATGAAATGGAGGTGGCGTGAGGACCTCTGCCTTAAAAACAGTTACTGAGGCATCTTTGTGCCAGAGTAAGTATGGCAAGAGGATGAGACACAAACATCTTCATTCCACAGTAAAATCCTGGAATAGCCAGTAGCTCTCTCACCTGCACGAAAGTCCTACAGTTGTTCAGAGCCTCATGCAAGGAGGAAAGCACATCCTCTACATCATATTCCTTCTCAGACTCTACAACAGATGATGTTGTGGCATCTGCTCTCTGAAATGAGGAGGCTGGTGGTCCAGAAGGAGGCAGGTTTGCAGACTTTGGGGCAAGTAATCCAACTGAGAGAGTAGACATAGATCGTGTCAAGAGAAAAGTGTGTATAGCATTAATCCAGTTTGGCACACAGAGAAAACATGGGGCCTTAAAATAAAAATCAGGCAGAGAAGTTAAGCATACTTGCATAGGAAATACTAACCCCTTAGAGTCAGATTCAATTATCCCAATTCTGGACTGCTTAGTTCCCATCCTTGGGAATAACATATAAATAAATAAGAACATTGGAATGAAAACCACAGGGCTGTAGATTCGATTAGGAAATAAGAAAACCATCCCGAAAGAAGCACTGGGACTTCTGTATTGTTGCCAAGAAAACTACATGAATATGTTCATGAAGTCTCAAAGACTGACCTGGCTGGCATAAACCAGGAATCAGAACCGAAATAAGGAGAATGAGAAAAGCAACCTGCTTTCTCCAGGCGCAAAATGCGATGCGCACTCCTTAAAAAAGTAATAATAAAATTAGAGCGCAGTATTTCTACAGATTTTCAAACAACTCCCGACCTGGGCTAGAGGCAACGGGGGGCTGCCGCACCGCTTCCGGATCCTTTCCTTCTCTCGCCGTCGTCACTCTTCTCCGGAAGGGACCCCGCTGGGTCCAACCGCTCGAAGGAGCCGGACGCTGCTGCAACCCGTAAGAGAACTGAGGGGGGTCATTCCAGCCGCGCTGCTGGTTCCCTGGAAAAGAAGAACAAAGCCCCGCGCCCGATCAGCCGCCAGCCTCGCGCAAAAAGCGCCGCCTTCGCCCCCCGACGCGGCTCACCCGGCTTGACATAGAGCTCCGCCATCGCCCCACTTCCGTCCGGCGCGCTCGCCCAAATGCCGGGCGGCTCTCTGACAGGCCGCTTCCTGTCGTCCGCGATGACGTGGCCGCCTCCTGTCAGTCTTCGGGCGGTGGGCGGAGTTTACGGAGGAGCGGCGGCCGTGGCCTTGCGGTCCAACCCGGGGGATGCTGACGCTCCGCGAGGCGCTGCAAGCGTGGCGGAAGATGCGCCCGAAGTGGTGCGTTCCGGCTAGGAGGGCCCTTGAGCGCACGAAGAACGTAGCTGAAGGACAGAAGAACCTTTTGGAAGAAAAGACGGACGGAGAGAATGCTTCCATCCACTTCGTTTTATTTTTGTTATAAAATGCAGAACTTAGTAACAATAGTAAAATAAAGAGCAATAAAGTACGAAAGGGCAGAGAAGTTAGCTAGTAAACGTGGGTCTGAGAAAGTCAAATGAGACTACACGACCAGTCAATCGCTTGCCTCTTTCTGGGGGATGTCTGCAGGGCAAGGTCAAAAAAGTCAAGATGGCCACAACAGTGGGGTCGAAGTTCCGCCTGTTTTTTATGTGCATTGCAACTTTTTTGATCACACCCTGCGGACACCCCCTCATCTACTATTTGTCAGTATGTCTATCTTTACAGCCTGTTTAAAGGCAGAAAGAAAAGAAGCATATTTTAACATGTTTAACGCAGATAATGTAACCTTTAACAGAACTACATCCCACAATTTCTGCCATCCTTATGGAGTCTTTCCTCCCATCCCCCCATGCAGAGTACTCTCATTTGTCAATCAAATTTTTATTATGGTCTTTCACCAGCATAACATAGAAATGTCAGCACAACCACAGAAAATAAGAACAGCATTTAAAATATTAAAAAATTAGATAAAAAGAAAAGGCTTCAAATAAAAATAATTGAAGTAAAATTTATACCTATCAACTTACATACAACAAAAGGTATCATTTTAACAGCAGCGATACAAATATAATTGTGTTTAGTATCTCTGTAGCAACAGGAAATTATTATCTAAAAGTACGCAGCAAATCTGACTGCTACACAAAACTGCAACATTGTACTGTATGTTGCTGAGGAATTGTCCAAAAGTAAGAAAACCAAGAAAAATTGGGTTGAGCAATTTTTTGGCACCCTAGTCTGAATTGAGAAAATCACAATACTGATTTTAGATTGTAGAGCGCTAGACCCCCCCAGCTCGTTGCCTCAACCTACCCATTGGTTCAGGATCATCAACCTTCTAAACAGGGTCTGATTGCATCTCCCCACAACAGAGCCAAAGAGAGCAAAACAACAAGCCAAAGTAAAGGACGCTCTGGACCCGGACTGTCAGTTTTGTAAGGTATACCTGTAACATGTAAGGTGTAAATCTGTCCCTTACACTGTTGGGTAGGGGAAGATAGGGAGACCTAACTAAGTCAGACTTTCATTCTGCAGTCATAATGTGCTGCTTAAGAAGTGATCTTGTCCAATCACCTGATCATAACCCTTAGAGAATAAAGAAGATGGTGCAAATCCAAGTTATGGCAGCTTTGATGTATATGACTGCTTCCACTTGGGTTGAAAATCATCTATCAGTGTTAAGGGAGCAAGGCCCATAGGAAAACTATAAAGCCTAAGCCACCAGTTAAACTAGCCTTCACTTTGATTAGACCCATCCCTAGTCATACAGAGGAACTAGAGGAATTAGAAACAAAAGCAAGGAACTAAGGTGCTGCTCAAAGGAATTTAGACTGAACAAACTTAGAAGGACCTAGGTGTGCTCCATTCAGGAGCTGTACTATGAATTTAGCTTTAAATAATTTGTCAGCTGCTGGTATATTTGTATTCTCTCTTGTACAAAACATTTTTTAACAGCAGTAGCACTCTTTTGAGCCATTGGCCTTTCTGCTACCAGAAGTTTGGAAAACAACCTGCAACTATTTATAGCATGAGATTTGCTTGATTTTGTGCCTATTTAATACTCCATTTATGAAATGGAGTATAAATAGAGGAGTATAATATTATTATAAATTATAAATAAATGGAGTATAAATAGTATAAATTCATAAATTTTAATTTAATTTTACTATAACTTATCTTTAAGTGATATTCCTTACAGTTCTGCCCTAGGGTACCTAAGGCTCTTCTAAGATCTATAGGGGACCATGTCAGAGTCACTGTGTGATCTGCAGAGAGTAAAATGGAGATCTGCTTATCTACCAGCTTAGGTGGATAAAAGTGCAGGTTGTTTAAGTGACCCACTAAAGTAATGATATAAATATTGATTGAACCCCCATATGTTCAAACAACATTTGATAAATGTCCCTCACCTTCAGAGAGTTGCTGCTACAGTCTAAATAAAGTATAAGCAGGGGGAATCAATCAAGGCAGCCTCTAATTTTGTCCAGAATATGCCATGGGATATGGAATCATATTATGCTTTCAGATCAATAAAGACCACATATAAAGAAATGGTAATATTAAAGATTGGAGTATCAGGCAGTGATCAAGAGTAGGCTGCCCTTCCCTGAAAACCTGACTGACCTCAGCTAGCTAATTTTCTTGCACCAACCAATCCTTTAATTTCAAGTAGAGATGTCTGGCATGCAGCTTGCAAATAGTATTAAGCAAATGTATAAGACTGTAGTTGGCAGGATTATCCTTCCTACCTTTTTTGAAGATGGAGCCTATAATTGTCACAACCTAATTCTTAGAAACACAGTCACATTTATCATTAGTAGTAAACATCATGGCCATCATTCATTTTACTTTTTAAATTAAGTCAGAAGGGATTACATCAACCTAAGAGCCTTCCCTGATCTCAAATGAGAGATCAAACCCATGATCTCAGACACTTTCATTGGTGGGCCAAGATGGGGCCAAGATGGGGCCTTCATATAATAATAGACGAGATGGCTGAATGTATTTCTGCTATGATGCAAAACCCTTAAATGTCCTTCCCAAGCCTTTGAGGGGAAGGCAGTGCAGTATCCAAATGGTACAGTCCATTACTGGGGGTGTTGGCAGTAATATACCAAAAGAAGGTAGAGTCTTTGTTCTTATCTGCCTGAATAAACTGATTCTAGCCTTCTTCCCCAGCAAGTCTGTTCCTATATCTTAGGATTTGTTTTGTATTGCCTCTTTTGGATTAAGAGCACTTAAGCCATGATGAATCGTGCATTAATAGTCCCAGACAAAACCAAACTACATGTTGGATTAGATGGTTATATGAGCAGAATATCACTATCATTCAGAGAGGATTACTGCTGTTTCTTATTTATGTTAATTTAATATACCAGACCTTTCTCTCTTTTGGCATCCCAGGCCATTCTCTCAGAGTAGTGTAGTTTACTTGTGCTCTAGTGTCAGTTTAAAGGTTTATTGATATCTCTCCAGTAAAGCCAGTTCAACTCTATATAGAACTAAAAATAGGGTGAAAGTTAGCATTAGCAATATATATGAAATGTTGGAGTAAGAATTGGAATATCCAATTTTTGAAAATCAGTCCAAACGTTGAGCAATGTAACATATAATCTAAGAATGAGGTTAATTTTATCAGAAAATATAGTTTTGTGTTTATTGGATTCCTGAAAGAATGTTTAAAAAAGGTTGGGCATATGATTTCTTACGGAGCCAGTTTGATGTAGTGGTTAAGGCACCAGGCTAGAAACTTTTAAATATTTAACTATAGAAAAGTTCATCAGTAGATGTTTGTCAATAGGAATAGGTTATAAAACAAATTGGTATTGGGAGAATATTGATAAGTGGGCCAAAACAAAATTAATGGATGAAGTTAACCAGTATTCATGTAAAAGGGCTATGACAACAACAAAATGTAATATTTAAAATAATTATGGGCAGACATTGCTTATTTACAGGAGACACATTTAATGGAACAAGATAAATCTCTATTAATGAAAGATTGGGTGGGACAGATTTACCTCACAGATATCTCAATGAAAGCCAAAGGTGTGGCCATTTTGGTTTGAAAAGGATTTTCAATTGATGTACAAAGGTTATTACTGATGTGAATGACCATTATTTAATTTTATGTGCCAAAATAGCAGGGACTGTAATAGCTATGGTTAATGTTTATGGACCTAATTATCCTATTATGTTTCATGAATGTTTTCAACATTTGAATGAGTGTATCTATGATGAAGTGGTAATAGGAGGAGATTTTTTTTTATATAGTAACGTTATTTTAAAAAAATTAAAAAGAACAATAAAAAAAAACTTACAGAATTACAGAAATAAGAAGTATGAAAGATTAAAAAGTGTAAAAGACAAAAGAGAAAAGGAAGAAATCAGGGAAAAAAAACCCCTCCTTACAAGTAATAGGAGGAGATTTTAATGAAATATTGGATCCAGA